AGGAGCTTTGTAGAAGAGGTTCTCCAGAAGACTCTGATCATATTGAGGGTCGTTGAGCTCACTGTCCATGAGCACACTACTGTGATCGGAAAGAAAATCTGGGAGAGAACCCTCTCCATCCCAGAACTGCAGCACAGATCCATTAACACTGAGGAACAGAGACATTACAAACATTAAAGCACGTAGTTTGCAAACATAGAGAGAAAAAAATCTACCCAGTATAAAAGTTTCCCATATTTCTGTCAAGTATTTATAAGCAAAGTTCCATTTTCTTCATTTAATCTAAACGTAACAGTAGCCTTGACTACCTTCCCAGCAGCAGATCCACAGCCATGTCCTCTGTGTTGACTCTATTCTGACTTGGTTCTTCAACGTCCTGAGCAGGATGCTGGAGTTCCGATTGAAGGATGTTCTCCAGAAACTGTCCTGAAGAGGGCCTGGCTGGCCTTTAGGAGGAAGATGATGTTTAACATTATTTATAATCATCAACATTCACCATTTTATTTTCTATTTTCGCCCTTCATAGGTATATGAATGAAACAGAAGAGTTCATACAAGGCGTCAGTGTTATCTGTGGAGAGAGGCAGGGGAATGTCCTTCAGAGGAACATCTGACTCCACATCAGATTTTAAGGCTGAAACCACCATGGCATTTCTGAGTTTGCTGCCACGCTCCAGAAGAACTGGAATAATACAAAAAACATAAGTAATATATAATGAAACTAAGTAAGCTATATAATGGACAATAAACACTTGGTATATACATCAGGTATGCATCACTAAATAGTGTTACACGAGTGTAAAGAGTCTGGTCTTTTTGTATACAGATCTGCCAATGGAACTGCCAAAATGGCCACAAGCGTCTCTAACGAAACATGTGTAATTTGTATAGTGCTATACTGACACAATATAAGGTCTAAAACTGACAGAATTGACTGAATTTTAAAAAGAACTCAAGATCAATCAGCAGAATTTGGCAATATTCGGATGACAGACAATTCTTTAATTTGACCAGTCCTTAGAAATCATCTATGATACACACTATTTTAGCCAAAATGTTGCTGTGTTCAGCAGTAATGCCAATATAATGAATTCAGTAAATCAAGTTAATGAGCTTTACCTGACAAAAGGTCAACAGGCGCTTGGGTATTTGCTGAAAGAATTTGGGCAGAAGCAGGTTTAGGTTTTCCAGTAGAAGAATCTGGCAAGACTTGTTCTTGAAAATACAGGTAATCCTTCCCTCTAAAACAAGAATATTGGAAAAAAACAATGTTTTATTGTTGAAGTTTATTGAATTCAAATTGAAGTTTATTGAATTTTCAAAATTGGTGCCTTGGCAACTAACTGAAATCAAATAAGTTGAAGTTGAAGTACTGAGATTACTAAAACTAAAAATGAAATAGAAATACTGAGAAAATAAAAATGACATACGCACATAACTTTACTAAAATTTTAACTAAAATTAAATTGAAAACAGAACAATAAATGTTAATTCAAACATTAACAAATATTATTAATAAATAGTACATATTACTATTATTATTAAGAAAACATTAATAATATTAAAATAATAATATTAGTATGATAATAATATTAGTTAATAGATCATGAATAGAAAAAAAAAATATAAATATTATATAAATAATACTAAAATAACACTGGGGATGAAACTATTACCATAGAACTACTTAAAACGTTTTTAACATAAAATAATAATTTTAATAAGATTTTAAAAAGACATGTTATCCAAAATTTTTAGTCTTTTAATTTAACTTGTCCATTCATAGACGACAAGATCAGTCATAAGGATGTGTGTTGTTGCTGAAGAACAGTATGTGAGCTGAGTGATTTATTGAGAGTTTGTTCCACATTATTCATTCAACAGTCAAATCATTTAAAAGATAAAAAAACAAACCTAGGTATGTGGCCGGAACTGCTGCCAGCTGTCTCCTTCACACTTGGGAGAGTCTGATCCTGGGATGGCAGTACAGGCATGTTCTGGTCAGTTGTAATGCCAGGAGCCTGTGCGTCGAGGCTCATATCAGTCAGGGGTACTGAACTACTGCTGTCATATCCTTCTGTTAACACTTCCAGGGCAAGTGCGACCTACGGTACACATGAAACAGCACATAATTAACCCTTGTGCTGTGCTGAAAATCCTTTATCTAATTTGGTGTTCCCTATATATATATATATATATATATATTTGTGGATAATTCCGTCAATGTTCACTCAAATGTTCACACAAACGGAGGTGCATAAGCTCAGATAAATGGGGCCTATGATCACTCTGTTCCAAAACGAAATACAAAACCAGTGTTAATTGAAAGAAAACAAGTTGACAAAAAGATTGAATAGAATACTTGGTGATAATATAGCATTATGAGAGATTTATAAGCAATTTTTTGTAGGCAATTGTTTTGGACCGGGAACACCATAAATGTAACAAGGTGGGGAAAAAATACTCAAAGTACAAAAATGATCCAGTTATTTTTGGGAAGTTGCTATAACATTGGTGCAGTAAGTTTGATTCCAATGCGATTAACTATGGTTTTAGAAAAAAGAAAATCCTCTCTGGGTCAAAATGAACAGATTACAACATGAAAGTTAAACTGTGAACCTAAAACCTGAGGGGAAAAAAAACAGATTCACAGTGAATTAGATCAGCTGAATAAATGTGAACTCTGCTGAGCATCTCACCCACCTGAAGCTCTCCGAGTTTTTCTGATGACGGGGAAACAAGAGTGAAATATCCATTTATGGAGTGAGACAAAGACAGCCGGGCAATCCCAGGGATTTGAGCTCGAGCTATAGGCAAATGATCGACCTTTGTAAGCACATCCAGCACCAATGAGCCCATATCTGTGAACAAAGAAATATTAAATTCAGCTATGCATCACATGAATAAATTCAGGGCTTCTGCAGGTTCAACGGAGATAAATTTAAGACCTGCTGGAACCCTGAAATCCACACATATCTAAAGTTAAATATGCCTCTCTAGGGACCGTCAATAATCAGCCATCACCTGTATAGCAACCAAATCTAACCTGTCAAATAAGACGCCAGCTGTTTTGGTCCACATCGAACTGGAAAGCGGGCTGTTGATTTTACCCTCTTCTGTTCAGCATTTCCATCTCTAGGCCTAAAGAAGGTGCCAGTGGAAGACTCTCCCCACCATCGGAGCCTGATCAGAATCACAGGAGGAGGTCTGGTGATGACCCACAGCACTTTACTCACTGTCACCCTCAGAAAGCATCTCAGCTGACCCTCCACCAGAGGAGGAATACTGGTGGATGGAGAAACATCACTGAGCACTGCAGAGTGTGGATCATAAGAAAGATACGAGTTCATAATGCCTGGAATACAGCTGTTTATTTTTTACAGTCCAAATCAGAATGAGCTTTATTGCCAGGTATGTTTACACATACGAGGAATTTGTTTTCGTGACAGAAGCTTCCACAGTGTGACAGAACAAAAAAACACAGATAATAAAAAAATAAAAAATAGAACAAGTAAAATAAGGAATAAAAAATATACAAATCGACAACTCTATGTACAGGTATTGAACAATAGACAGTTGTATGTACAGGTATATTATGTGTATATTATCCAAGTGCAGCCAACAACAAATAAGCATTAGTCATTCGCTTCGGCTGTCTCAAAACGCAGTGAGCGCTAAAACACTGTCTAGGTAGGCAAATCACTATTTAAACGCAGGTTTTGTCCTCGCAAAGGTTACGTGATTTTTAATCTCTTTAAAAAAAACTGTCGGATTTGTGAGAACTAACAACCTCCAAACCAATGCAACTGACCTCTTTTTCTGTTGCTTACACCCTTTGAAGGTTTCGCCTTTTTATTCTTCATTCCTCACATCGAGAGTGTTCTAAATAATGGTATTAATGAATCAAAGCTATCATACTTCTTTGACAGTTGCATTAACAAACATAATACCGCTGAGCAACGGCTCGACCAATCAGAGCCTGGAACGACTTCTTCTTCTCTTTGCTTTTTTTTTTACAGTCAGTGAGAGGGGTTTCTAGCGCCTCTAAAGGAAAGATATGAAATTACAAGGGAACGAATTGATACTGACCTCCAACAAACTAGTAATCGTAATCCCAGGATGAATTATTATACAGATTATACACACACGCGCGCGCGCGCGCGCACACACACACTGAATTTTTGCCCTGTGACAGTAATACTGTACAACTTTCTTATTTTCAGTGAGCCCTTAAGAGTGCAGGTCATCGATGAAAAGAGGCTGCTTCGTGATACGTGCTCTATTGAATAGCATAATCAACTCAAATCACACGTGAACAGTGCTATTCAAACAAACAAAGAAAAAAAAAACTCTACAAACCATACAATGGACCTAGTCAAAGAATACTGGTGTTTAGCGCACTTCATCTCAACGGTTGTGCCCTACTCCGTTGTATTATGTTTGCATAAGTGATGTTTCTGTATGAGTAAATTGGCTGCAAATTATCTGAGCACTATTCACATATTTACTGAAAAAAAGATAGAGATATCTTCAAAGAGAAGCATGAGTACAGAAAAAGTACTAACCCACAAAAGTGTGTGGTTAATGCAGACATGTAAACCACTCAAAATCGTTTTCAGTAATTCAAATAAAGCTTAAATAAAATATAATTGGTTAAAAAAAAACTTAAAAAGTAGATATGAAACGTTGGCAACTTACTGAAATAAAGTTGAAATGCTAAACGCTACAACTAAAATTGATATAAAATGTAGTTAAAGCTAAATAGAATGTAAAAAAAACTAATAAAATTATTAGACTTCAAAAATGAAAATATAAGCTAATTATAAATATGAATACTATAATAGCATGTAAATAATACTACATAACTCTTAGTATATAAATAATACTAAAATATTCTTAGTAAATGAGTAGACAGGACCCTTAAGTAGCTTTTTAGATCAAAATAGTACATTCTAACACACGCATACACACACACACACTTCTTTTCAAGAATATATAATTTTAATTGTATAAGTACATTTGTCACAATAGTAAACAAAAAAAAGGAACTGAAAATACAACAAATTATATTCTTCAATCAGCATCAAAGCTACGCAATATAAAAATAAAAAAAGGAATCTAAATACAGTTGGCAGCTACTAATTACAAGCTCCTTGACCCTTCCCAGCAATCTTTTTTGAACACTCTAAGAGAGCATTATGAATGTCTTTAGCACATGCAATCTGTGATTTTATCATACTGAGATACTGAGAGTAAGACAGAGACTCTGTTTGCACTGTGTCCGGCTTCGTGGCTGTAGGTACGAGATTTGGAGAATGCTTTGTGCTGTCGATGCTCTGTGAGAGGCACTCATGGGCCAGCCGCTGAAGAAACAAAATGTCAATGTTAATCAAAATCAAAAAAGAACTTTGAATGACATTTTCAAAAGAAACACAGCAGTTACTTACCAGGCAGAGCTCCAGTTGATCACAGAGAGCATAAAACTCCTCTAAACTTTTGTCAAACCGCTGAACTGCTGCATCATTACCCTTCCTACATTTTGAGAAGTGAAATATATTTTTTAAATATTATTTCTTGGTTTATGCACCCATAAATCTTTCTATTGAATCTCATTTCTGCCACAGGATAAAAATAAATAAACAATTGTGACATTTTATCTCACAACTCAACAAAAAACAATCTCAGAATTGTGAAAAATATGAATTGTGAGAAAAAAAGTCACTATTACATTCGTATTTTTCATTCTGTGATGGAAATAAAAACAGAGTTGTGAGAAAAACTCAGAATTCATACTTTCTTTCTTTTTTTTGCGAATTTGTATCCCTCAGAATTGCAAGAAAAAAGTCAGAATTGTCAAATTAAAAAGTCACAATTATCTTTTTTTATTCCGTGGCAAAAACAGGCTTCCATGTATTTCCATATATGTATATTAATAGACAGATAGAACAGACAATACATACAATATACATACATACACAGTGCTGGGAAGATTACTTACAAATTGTAGTCTGTTACTGATTCCAAATTACATGACACAAATTGTACGTAATCCATTACATTACACATTTTAGGTAATATAATCAGACTACATTTAGATTGCTTGCGACCTGACTCTTTTATCACATTGATTTAAATAGGTTAATATTGTTCCAAATTGAAATAAAAATACAAAGAGAATGAAAATATATTCCATTCGTTGTTATTAACAGCATGAAGTGCATTAAACATTTTAATGCGTTTGAAAGACAAAAGCCTTCCAAAGACAAAGACTTGTGTGAATAATATGTAATCATGTAATCAATAAAAAAGTAACTGTAGTCTGATTACGAGTAATTTAAAATGCAATATAATCTAATTACAAGTATTTACTTTTTGGAATCTGATTACTTAATCCAGATTGCATGTAACATCAGTTACTACCCAGCACCGTACATACATATGCGTGTGTGTATTGCATATTCATTTCATCTCAACGGTTGTGCCCTACTCCGTTGTATTATGTTTGCATAAGTGATGTTTCTGTATGAGTAAATTGGCTGCAAATTATCTGAGCACTATTCACATATTTACTGAAAAAAAGATAGAGATATCTTCAAAGAGAAGCATGAGTACAGAAAAAGTACTAACCCACAAAATTGTGTGGTTAATGCAGACATGTAAACCACTCAAAATCGTTTTCAGTAATTCAAATAAAGCTTAAATAAAATATAATTGGTTAAAAAAAAACTTAAAAAGTAGATATGAAACGTTGGCAACTTACTGAAATAAAGTTGAAATGCTAAACGCTACAACTAAAATTGATATAAAATGTAGTTAAAGCTAAATAGAATGTAAAAAAAACTAATAAAATTATTAGACTTCAAAAATGAAAATATAAGCTAATTATAAATATGAATACTATAATAGCATGTAAATAATACTACATAACTCTTAGTATATAAATAATACTAAAATATTCTTAGTAAATGAGTAGACAGGACCCTTAAGTAGCTTTTTAGATCAAAATAGTACATTCTAACACACGCATACACACACACACACTTCTTTTCAAGAATATATAATTTTAATTGTATAAGTACATTTGTCACAATAGTAAACAAAAAAAAGGAACTGAAAATACAACAAATTATATTCTTCAATCAGCATCAAAGCTACGCAATATAAAAATAAAAAAAGGAATCTAAATACAGTTGGCAGCTACTAATTACAAGCTCCTTGACCCTTCCCAGCAATCTTTTTTGAACACTCTAAGAGAGCATTATGAATGTCTTTAGCACATGCAATCTGTGATTTTATCATACTGAGATACTGAGAGTAAGACAGAGACTCTGTTTGCACTGTGTCCGGCTTCGTGGCTGTAGGTACGAGATTTGGAGAATGCTTTGTGCTGTCGATGCTCTGTGAGAGGCACTCATGGGCCAGCCGCTGAAGAAACAAAATGTCAATGCTAATCAAAATCAAAAAAGAACTTTGAATGACATTTTCAAAAGAAACACAGCAGTTACTTACCAGGCAGAGCTCCAGTTGATCACAGAGAGCATAAAACTCTTCTAAACTTTTGTCAAACCGCTGAACTGCTGCATCATTACCCTTCCTACATTTTGAGAAGTGAAATATATTTTTTTAATATTATTTCTTGGTTTATGCACCCATAAATCTTTCTATTGAATCTCATTTCTGCCACAGGATAAAAATAAATAAACAATTGTGACATTTTATCTCACAACTCAACAAAAAACAATCTCAGAATTGTGAAAAATATGAATTGTGAGAAAAAAAGTCACTATTACATTCGTATTTTTCATTCTGTGATGGAAATAAAAACAGAGTTGTGAGAAAAACTCAGAATTCATACTTTCTTTCTTTTTTTTGCGAATTTGTATCCCTCAGAATTGCAAGAAAAAAGTCAGAATTGTCAAATTAAAAAGTCACAATTATCTTTTTTTATTCCGTGGCAAAAACAGGCTTCCATGTATTTCCATATATGTATATTAATAGACAGATAGAACAGACAATACATACAATATACATACATACACAGTGCTGGGAAGATTACTTACAAATTGTAGTCTGTTACTGATTCCAAATTACATGACACAAATTGTACGTAATCCATTACATTACACATTTTAGGTAATATAATCAGACTACATTTAGATTGCTTGCGACCTGACTCTTTTATCACATTGATTTAAATAGGTTAATATTGTTCCAAATTGAAATAAAAATACAAAGAGAATGAAAATATATTCCATTCGTTGTTATTAACAGCATGAAGTGCATTAAACATTTTAATGCGTTTGAAAGACAAAAGCCTTCCAAAGACAAAGACTTGTGTGAATAATATGTAATCATGTAATCAATAAAAAAGTAACTGTAGTCTGATTACGAGTAATTTAAAATGCAATATAATCTAATTACAAGTATTTACTTTTTGGAATCTGATTACTTAATCCAGATTGCATGTAACATCAGTTACTACCCAGCACCGTACATACATATGCGTGTGTGTATTGCATATTCATGTACCATGTGATTTACATAATAATCAGGGAATCTTACTCTGTTGTTCTTCCGTTGTCAATAGCTGCATTGTGTCCAAAATTTTGTGAAGCAATGGTCATGACGTTCTGAAAACATAAAATTGTAAATGAATGTTAGTATTCTATTTCAAACAAGCACTTTCAGCTCTCACGATTAAGGAAAGGCACCAAACAAACCTGTAAACTATCTTTCAGCAGAGGAATCAGCATTTTGAATCTGTGAACGGGATCAAAATCTTGTTGTTGACTGAGCTGCTGCTGCTGCTGCTGTTGTTGTTGAGTTTGCGGTTGCTGTAAAATAGCCGCTTGCTGAACGCCCATCTGAGCACTGTTAGTGACCATCTGCTGCTGCGACGCCATTGTTGACATGGATGAGACAGTCTTCTTCTTCTTCTTTTTAAGCGTTTTTGGCGGTTGGCAAACAAGCTAATAGGTGCTTTACCGCCACCTGCTGGACTGGAGTGTGGAACAAAAATCTGGCTGAGATATTTTCTCAGTTTTCTTATCAGTTTGTGCTGTACAGTTGATCACATCTACTATAGGATAAAATCTTTTTTGCCTACTATCAACGTATCTTCCTTTATCTTGGCACAACCATCACATGCACTCTTTGTGATACCTTCTGTTTCCTTCTCTTTTGGTCTTTCTGACTGAACCAGTTCTAGCTGTTGAGACAAAAATGTCGTCTTCCTCCAGGGGACGCTAGAAGACTCCGAGCCGAACGGGTCATCCTGACCAGCGCTGAGAAAAGTAGCAGGAACCACACTGGGCTACTTCATAAGTTACACTTAAATAATACACAGCGAAGAATATTAAAATGGGAAAAAACAGTTGTTTATATACATCGTACATAACCAAAACAAGCCGTAGTGTCTAAAATATTGATGGCAGTCAATTGAAACAGTTGACTTTGGATTTATTTAATTTTTTTTAAAGGGACTTTGGTTGAAACTAATAATGTTTGCAAGAGAAAAGAATATATTTCATTTATTCTTGGCATAAAATATCCCTCAATATTCTCTCATAATATTCAAACTAGTGGAGTCACCGTGGTTGAAATGAAAAGAAATGACGCCATCTAGAGGAAAATTTGTGGCACTGCGAACTATTGTTATATATAAAAAAAAGCATGCAACTTTTTTTCCCTGAGAATCGAGACATGAAATATGATGGATGCAATAACAAAAATCTTTGACGAGTTCATTATTATATAAGTGTATTATTTGAATCGAACCATATCAATGCAATGCAATACAATGATGCTTTGAGAGATGTACAAATCAACATTCCTCAAAAGTCTGATTTATCATATTTGATATTCATATTTAACATGATTAAAAAAACTTGTACGGGTAATCAAGTTGAACACTTCTGTGATAGGCTAAGTACTCTTTTTAAAAGCATGTTACCAAAGTGTACTTTTTTCCCCCCAAGAGCCATATGTCTTTTGTTTTTTATTTAATAACTACTGCCTTGAATAAGATCTTACACGTAACCGATGTTCACGAGACGAAACAGTAACAATTTACACAAAGGAAAATGTTCAAAAGTTTACATATGCTTGACACAGTGTGCTGTTACCTGGCTAATCAACAACTGTTTTATGTCTTATGTTTGTAATACTTGTTCATTAGTCCCTTGTTTGAACTGAGCAGCTCATCTTTTAAAAGAGGACAGTTTAATAATTATTATTATTAGATGCACTTTTTTATTTATTTTTTTATTTTTTTTTTTAAATAGCAAGAAAAGAAAATAACATACATAAACATTAAACAATAAATTTTTAGCAGCTGGATTTTGCTTGGTCTTTTTTGCTCTTTAATAATTATTATTTAAGAAGATGAGGAAGAAGAATTATTAATTTAGTTTTGTATGCTGTTTTTGTCATGGTTACAGTTTCCTCAACTACTGTTAAATTTGTTAATTGTTTTAAAGACATTTAACAAAGACAATTAACAAAGTAAATGACATTCCCCAGACTTCTCTTTATCAAATCATAGTGGTCATACATGTAATAATCTTCTATGTATGGACTACAAAAATACAGCATTTTAAGGTTGCACTTTGCTTTTTGGAAAGCACTGAAAGTCAATGCTTTTCTGATTCCTTTTTTTTTCTTTCAGGCCAGCTTCTTCAGTTGTCGCAGACTTCGGCTGTGGAGACTGTAAAATTGCACGGAGTGTAAAAAATAAAGTACACTCTTTTGATTTGGCTCCGGTTTGTGATCTTGCCACTGCATGTGACATGGCAAAAGTAAGTTATTGTGGTAATAAAGGTTTTAATTGTAATGCAGCCGAAAGACTAAAGACGGCTCTGTTTATTACTTATTCACAGGTGCCACTTTGTGATTCTACAGTAGATATTGCTGTTTTCTGTCTTTCTCTGATGGGGACAAATCTGGGAGAGTTTTTGGCAGAAGCAAACAGAGTCCTGGTGATGGGGTAACTGTCTTATTTCATTTTTTTTTTTTGATCAATTGCCATTATTTTAAGTTTATTATGAAATCCAAACTATTGTGAGTCTAATGATTAGCCAATCTATATACTCTTTCCATTTTTTTTTTTTGCAGGGGTCTTCTTAAAATAGCTGAAGTGGCCAGTAGATTTGAAAATGTGCGTTTGTTCATTGATGCATTGTCAAGTCTGGGCTTCAAGTTAGTCAATAAGGTAATGTGCAATTTATTCCAGTGAACATAAATGTTTAGATGGTTTTTTTTTTTTTTTAAGAAATTATTTTATTCAACAAGGATCCATTAAATGTATCAAAAGTGACAGTAAAGAAGACATTTATAATCTTTCAAATAAATGCTGTTCTTTTAAACGTTTGATTAATCAAAGAATCCTGAAAAAAAAAAAATTAAGCAGCACAACTGTTTTCAACATAAAAAATGTTTCGGCCAATTAGCATATTAGAATGATTTCTGAAGGATCATGTGACTGGAGTAATGATGCTGAAAATTCAGCCTTGCCAATAAAATGAATAAATGTATTCAAATAGAAACCAGTTCTTTTAAATTTTGATAATATTTCATGTTACATTTTGTATTCTATTTTTCATCAAATTAATGCAGCCTAGGTGAGCATAAGAGACTTAAAAAAACATGTTTCCAGCATAACATGCACCTGGTCCTGTGAAATGGCCTCATATTTTTGTTCACTTAATAACTCCCATGAGACAGACCATTACACTGTCCAGAACACTGTTGAAGGCACGCTGTGGTATAGAGAATACAGGGTAAAATATGATCATCAGACCATATTACTTATTCCAGGGTCCAGTTTTATGCTTTTTACACCAGGATATTTGTCTCCTGTACTTTCTTTGGACACAAGCAGCTTCTAAATGGTAGTCTAATCATACATTCCTTTTTTTTATTTTAATTTTTTTATCTCAGAATATGAAGTTCTTGTCATTACTTTTGAAAACCCCAAATATATGCTCATTCAAAATATTAATAAATACTAAAATAACAGAAAGGGAGTCCAATAGTAATAGGAAACCCTGATATTTTGAAGTTGGTGATCATGATTTATTCCAGGAGTGGCCAACGTCGGTCCTGGAGAGCCACAGTCCCGCAGACTTCAGCTCCAACCTTAATCAAACACACCTGAACAAGGTCTGAGGGTTACTAGAAAGCTACAGGCAGGTGAGTTTTTATCAAGGTTGGAGCAAAACTTTGCAGGACTGTGGCTGTCCAGGACCGATGTTGGCCACCCCTGATTTATTCTATAGATTGTGCAAAACATTTTCTGCAGACTCACTGTTAAAAACTGACAAACATGCAAATAATAAAGGACTGCTATTAAAATCACTAGAATAATCTCCTCCTTAATTATCATATATGATTGTTAGTTGCAGGTCTAATGCTGTATTAGGGATGGAAAATCAGGCCAAGTGTGCAGTGTTGCAGACTAGAATTGTGCTGTTCTGCAAGTATGCAGATCAATAATGGAATATATTAACAACAACACTAACATAAAATGTTCAATGTCCTCAGTTTTTCAAATAAAATAATGGAGATAGCAATAGATCGTAATTTAGTAATCAAAATGTAGTATAATTTACAGTATAATGAACAAGAGCTGTTTACAAGCTATTTGTTTTCTGTTATTTTTTTCAGGACACAGAAAACAGCCACTTCCACTCCTTTGAATTCATAAAGACAGGAAAAGCACCTGTGAACGTGAGGAAAGTCGGTCTTCAAATTAAACCTTGTCTGTACAAGAAACGATAAATGTACATTAAGTAAATATTTTGCTTCTTTATGTATGGACTGTGTATGAAAGGTTTATCAGCAGTAGTTCAGTTTCAAGGGTCAAATCTCTCCTTAACATTGTATGTTTTGTAAATCAATGTAACAGGACAGTACATTTTATATATATAAAAAATAATTTAATGTGATATTAAAGTAATTTTGTCCTTTGGGAAAACTGTATTTGTCATATATTGTCTTATGACTGGAAATAGTTTTTACCTGATAAACAAACAGACTCGTTAAGTATTTAAACTTGTCAATTATTTTATTGTATTTTTTACAAGTGTCACAGTCACATTATTTACCCCCGGAGATGCCTAAACATCTTAGAGCAACACAAAGGAAGATCAGTCGTCGTTGTAACAAAGACTGTGAAAACAGTGCAATCTTATAACTAAAATATCAGACTGGACTCACCAGGCCCAGATGTGGATTCCCCCACTATTTACTGTATGATCACCAGAGGGCGCTACAGCGTTACAAATTCAGTCAGTTCGTGTGCTACAAGTTAAATTGGAATGAAAACAAGGTAGAATCTATATATCTCTGTGTAAATAAGAACATATCAGAACATCTGTGTAAATCAGAACAATCCTAAAAAGTAGTAAAACATTGAAAATGTGCTTATAATATTTATAAAACAATGCTACTTATCAAAGTAAATCATAATGCTGAAAGTAATACCAAGCTACTTCATTTTCCTTACAATTGGTATTTGTAATTGAGGAAAAAGAACAGCTACATATCAAAAACACCAATTGCAATGTGTATATACAGTGGGGTCCAAAACCCCTGAGACCACTAGTGAAATATTCTTATTAAAGGAATAGTTCATCCAAAAATAAACATTTGCTTAAAATTTACTCACCCTCAGGCCATCCAATGTAGATGAGTTGTTTCTTCATCGGAACAGATTTGGAGAAACCTGATGGATGTGTTTATTACAAACACGCAGGTTTTCACTTCACAAGACGTTAAGTGATGGACTGGAGTGGTGTGGATTATTGTGATGTTTTTATCAGCTGTTTGGACTCTCATTCTGGCGGCACCCATTCACTGCAGAGGATCACTTGGTGTAAAACTACATTTCTCCAAATCTGTTCAGATGAAACAATTCATCTAAAATCTTGGATGGCCTGAGGTTGAGTAAACTTTCAGCAAACTTTCATTTTCTTTTTTCCATTACCAGTTACATTATCAGCATAACAATCTGACTGAAAATGAATTAATTTCTTAAACATGTCCCCCTTTTAATGCACTCAAGCTGTGATGAACTCCACAAGTATGTGCAAAAACGTATATATTACGGTCATAAAATTCAACGGGTAGGTCACACGGTGCTTTTAGCATCAAAAACAATGGAATAGTGCACAAGCTCAGCATAGTGCGGCCCAGCCGTGCCTGGAATCACCGTCTTGTCTGGGCAGCGAGGGTCCTGCATTAGAGCAGCTAGAGACTCACGCTCTCTCCCGTCTTTCTTCTTTAAAGGAAAAAATCAAATGAGCTATTTATATCTTTTGGACAAGCTATAGTAACAATTATATAACACTTTGTCTAAGTACCTTTTGTGATGAGTGACTTCTCCCACTTTTGCTAGAAAGAAATAACAAGATTAGGAAATTTATTTCAAGGGGGATTTTTTTCTAAAACAAAAAGCCACAGATACTTTCACAATTTAAATTGACGTCTCTACCACTAAGACATGAACAATCTGTTTATATCGCATGAATAGCAGAGATGTGGTAGATGTGGTCTTGTTCTGCCAGCCTGTGCATGCCACCATGTATCCTGTTTATGAACACTATGCATGTCATTGGTCTAGGTAAGCTACCTTGCTTCCTGTTTGCCTCCACTGTTCTCACCTGTATGGTAATATCCAAAAAGAAAACAGCAGAATTTTACCTAGTTTGTTAGAAAGCGAGTCTACTCACCAGAGGACAACCAAAATGATAATCAGGATGAGGGTGATTGCAGCGGCTGACGAGAAGCAAATAGTGATGAATATCACTGTGGAAAACAGACATTCATTACCTCGATTCACCATACTTCAATATGCTGATAATCTATAGGCCTGATATGTGGAAAACTCACTGTGTTGAGTCTCTTCACTAGTTACATCCACCCGAATGAAAACTTTAGCCATGTGGTGGTGGTACGAGACGTGGCATATGTACAGTCCTGCATCCAGTTCAGACACTGGTTCTGTAAAAACCAATGCCATGCCCACGGTGTCAGCTGCTGACCCGTCCTCCCTGGGATGAGAAAAATTCAGAGACATGTCTCAAATAACAACTTTGAAAAAGTCTCTTTTTCTCTAGAAACTGATAGATGGAAGATTTAGAAGAGTTTTGGTCAAGATGTCTGAAATTAGCACAAACAAAACTTTACAATGGATGTCTGAAAAGGGATAGTTCACACAAAAATGAAAATTGTCATAATTTACTCACTCATGACTTTCTTTCTTTCATGGAATACGTTAACATTGCTCTTATCAATACAATGAAACAGGAATATTGGCACATACTTTCAAGCTCTAAACACAAAAAAAGTGTGACTTTTTCATTTTTGGAGCTGTGTTATTTTGGTTTTATTTATATAGTATTATAGAATGCGTATTAGTATTTTGAATTAGCTTTTATTTTTATATTTTAAGTTTTCATCTTAATTTTAGTTTCTTTTAGTATTTTTGTTGTGGTTTTTATTAGTTTTTAAATATTTCTATTTAGCTTGAAGTTATTTTTATTTTTAGTATTACTATCTACTTGTTTCGTATTCACTTAAACTTATTTCATTTCATTTATTTCATTAGCTGCAGTTAGCATTTCTAATTTGCAGGTTTAAATGTTTTAATATTTTTATTTTTATTTTAGCTTTATTTTAATACATAAACATAAATGATTTTGCATAGCTTAATTTTAGTTAACAATAATCAGACAAGATTAATTTTCGGGTAAACAGCCCCTGTGAGACACTGAAAGAACACACTGTGTTCTTAAAGAATGACACATTTAAGGGATTTTTACTGGGCTAAGCCGCATAATTTTAGCTATTACAGTTTTTGTTAATATTTGGAATATTTTTATATAAAAAATATATATTTTATATTTTTACTTTATATTTTATATTTTTACTTACTAAGTTTTAGTAATTTTGTTGTGTTTTTATCATTTTTATTTGTTTTTTTCTAATATGTCTATATAGTTTTTATTAATTTTATTCATTCGTTTTAGGTAATTTAGCTTTAGTTATTTTAGTACTTCAGGTTAAACTAAACAAAAATGAAATTTTTTTTTAGTTTTAAAGGGGTCATACGTATGATGCGATTTCAAGTTTTCCTTTCTCTTTGGAGTGTTACATAATTCTGCTGGTAAGAGTAGTATAGGGAACCACATTTATTGTCAAGCATAAAGAATCCTTTAGAACTTCACAGCCTGATACAGTAAAACATTCATGTGAAAACATTAACTAGCCCTTGTCTTCTCTATGTATCCCTTTGGGTGTCTGAAATGAAAGAAAAATCAATGTACAGCATTTAGGTTTTGAGAGTGCTGTGGAATTGTGCAATAGGCCGTGATATGGTCATGACGTTTTTTCTGTGCGTCAACTTTGAACTCTTGAGTATTTTGTGCCTTATTTAAGCATGCACTACTCAACATACCTGTAACATATTGTCTTGTATGATGGAGCATTGCCATGGGCTCTGAGAAGTATCTTCTGATTTGAGAGGTTTTCTTGCAATGCTAAACGATGCTCATTCTGGCCATGACTTCTACGATCAAGTGTGGTTTCGTTTAAAACCTCAATAGATGAGATAGCTGAGTGAAAGATACAGCAGATTGCATTCAGCAAATAAAATATATTTACTGAATGAATAACCAGAAAACGTTCCAGTCAATATTTTTGGGGTTGAGGAATGCTTACAATATTTTGGAACTCGTATTGTCCGTCTCTCATCCCTGCCGAGCTTGTTCTGGATCAGACATATTAAATCTTTCCCCTCATACTGACTGAGTTGAAATTCATGAGTTGAATTGACTTCTACTTTAATTCCATTATATTTGACCTCAGTAGTCGCCTGAGTTACAGTGTCTTCATCAGGAAGGACCCAGGAGATGTTGGGTTTCACCCCATCGCCGCTGAACTCACACACAGCATGCCAAATCTGAGTGTATCTCTCTTCACCCAGAAATGCGAGGCTTGCAGATGGCCCTGACAGCAAAGACGTTTTCATTACTTCATTATTGTGTCGATTTTGTAAAAGCGGCTGTGAAGTTGTTCTTGTTATTGTAGTGGTCAATTTAGGGTTTTAAGTTTTCATCAACTGCTGACGATTGAACTTGATTATTTCTTGAAATTCAAGCTATAAGAAGCATAGCAGTTTCACAATGATAATTATAGTGATGATATGTTTAAAATGTATGAATGGACTGACATTTAGCTTCCTAATGCAATCACATTAATACTTTTCTAAGTCTGGCTCAAGTGTCAAACTACTTTTGGGGTTAATGTAATAGTAAAACTTACCTAAGGATGGGAGGACAATGCTTTTGTTCTCTGGTTTCTCTAACCCTCGATGCTCAACCACACAGGTCACGCTGCATCCGGCATGTGAGTAAATAGGAATACGCACCGTGCTTTGAGCAACAACCATATGACTCTCATGAAACACAGGTTGAGTCATTACAAATTCACTAGAGCTAATATCAATGCCATGGCGCTCTACTGCCCAGGTGATGGCCGCTGCCGGGGTCTGGCTCTGCACTGAACACACCAGCCATGCGTATGTAATGCCATTGTCCCATTCAACACCAGACTGCAGGGTTATATTCGGTGGTGCTATAAACAAAAAACATAAACTACATGTCAGAATGTTTGAAAGACAGCTCTGTTTTAAAACCTAGTGAGCTGCCTATGTCAACAGCATCCATCCATCCATCTGTCCATCCATTGTTCTGTCCATCCATACCTCCATCCATCTAATCATCAATGCATTCATCCATTATCCATCCATCCTTCCATCGTCAATCTATTGTTCAGTCCATCCATCCAACAATCTATTCATCCATCTGTCCATTATCCTTCTATCATCCATCCATGCATCCACCTATCTATTCATCCACTTATCCATCCATCCATCCATCCATCTATTGTTCATTCATCAATCAATCGATCAGTTCATCCATCCATCCATCCATCATTCTATTATCATCATCATTGTACTATCCATCCATCCATCCATTGTTCTACTGTATTATCATCATTGTACCATCCATCCATTGTTCTATCCATCCATGCATCCACTTATCCATCCATCCATCCATCCATTCATTGTTTTATCCATCCATGCATCCACTTATCCATCCATCCATCCATCCATCCATTGTTTTATCCATCCATGCATCCACTTATCCATCCATCCATTGTTCCATCCATCTATTGTTCTATCCATCCATGCATCCACTTCTCCATCCATCCATCCATTCCATCTATTGTTCTATTCATCCATGCATCCACCTATCTATTCATCCACTTATCCATCCGTCCAACTATTGTTCATCCATCCATCCATCTATTGTTCAATCCATCCATCTATTGTTCTATCCATCAATGCATCCACTTGTCCATCCTTCCATCTATTGTTCATTCATCCATCCATCCATTATCCGTGTATCCATCAACTATCCATCTATTGTTCTATCCATCCATGCATCCACCTATCTATTCATCCACTTATCCATCCGTCCATCTATTGTTCATTCATCCATCCATCCATCCATTATCCTTGTATCCATCAACTATCCATCTATTGTTCTATCCATCCATGCATCCACCTATCTATTCATCCACTTATCCATCCGTCCATCTATTGTTCATCCATCCATCCATCCATCCATCCATCCATCAACTATCCATCTATTGTTCTATCCATCCATGCATCTATTCATCCACCTATCTGTTCATCCATTCATCCATCCATTGTTCTATTTATCGGTCAATCAATCAATCAATCAATCAATCAACCGATCGATTGATCGATTGATCCATCCATCCATCCATCATTCTATTATCATCATCATTGTACTATCCATCCATCCATTCATCCATTCGTCAACCTATCCATCCATCCATCCATCCATCCATTTGTCCACACTTCAATTCATTTATTGTTCCATCCATCCATCCATCCATCGTCTTACCACACACAGGAAGAGGAATCTGCCGCCTTTCTTTTTCCATGAAGTCAGGATGGTCGACTACGCACTCAACTGCATATTTATGGGTCATGCATCTAGGCACAGTCAACACACTTCTGACAGAACAAGATCCATTATAGTGTGTGTCTTCAGAATGAATTGTACTATTAATCTCTTGTGGAAGAATCCAGGACACATTTGCAGCGGGAACAGCATTGGAGGCCAAACACTCAATGTGAACATAGTCTGAATTCTTTACTAAATTCACACTGATATTTGGGGGAAATGTCACTAAAAATAAAAACAAATCACGTTTACAATCTTCAGCTGTAGAGTGTAGAATATCAATACAGAGTGATGATATTATGACAGCAAATATAGTACCTGGCAGTAGGACTTTTGGATTTACTTTGATTGTGAACTGCAAGGAAGCCTGATGTCTACGGTAAGAGGCCTGACAGAGATATTGTCCGACAAGGTGCAGCTGTATGGGTCCTCTGATAAAGAGATCACTGCCAACCACATCCACATCCTCAGGCAGAGGTTGGCCTTCCCTTGATCAAGTGATACAAAAGTGCAAAGCAAACATTTCACAACTTGTCTCAATGTTTTTATTCTGTGGTGAACACACTAGAATCCAAAACTTAAATTTTTACATTGCGAATGAAATTGACTATATCATTGTGTTGTATCAGTGCTCGTTTTTTACTTTCATTTTATGCTCATATTCAAGGCCTTCAGGCATAATATTACTACATCTTACCTGGAACATTTCATTTTATAACTTGGTACATTGCCCAAAACATCCATCCTGATTGTAATGTCCGTGTCCCCCTCCACAAGTGCCAGTGAAGTCTGATTCTCACGGTTAATGGCATAATCAAGGTCCTTCAGCTGAAGTGAGGAAAGATCTAGATGGAAAAAAGTTTTACAAATTAAAAAGTGCTTCAAATATTCTACATATGTGCATCTATTCAGTTTAAATAGTGCTGGTACTCACAGTAAATTGGCAACGTGATTTTCCTTTTGTTTATGAATGGGAGAAACATGTAGCTAAAGACACAAAATATATTTTCTCCTTCATAAGGATCTGATGGGAACCTATATGAACTGATAACTGAATCTGGTTTGGAGACATTTCTCTCTAAAGGTGGCATGTTTCTGAATTCAGGCAGTATCCACGTGATATTTGGATGTGGCCTCCCTCCTGTTGCTGTACAGATGACCTCTTGAAAGTCTTCTCCTCCTTCTGGGACTAGGAAGGTCTCCATGCTTATAACAGGAGAAACTGTTAAAAAGAAGAAAAGTGCCAATAAGAACAGGGGAAGTTCATAAAAAAGAGACAGTTCTTTTTAGAAAACTACAAATTAAAAAGACAGTTCTTTTTAGAAAACTAAGAAGTGTATCTGTGAGTTTAATCTTAAGGTTAAACAAGCATACATTTGAGTTTCGAGGAGTTTGAACAGCTGTTCGGTCTGTTTACCAAGCTGTTGGAGACACTAACTCTAGCTCCAAGCTAGGTACTTTCTTAGTGAATGAAAGACACTTGGTTTAGATGTCATGATTCAAGAAATGATCAAAGATGAAGTCACTAAACATTCACACCACTTGCAGTATTTGAGTGCAAAAACCTGTTCACTAACCACCTGCAATATAGTTTAGCATTTAGCGCCGGAGTATTTAAATTAAGCTGTCGTTCATTTCAGCCTCACCACTACTGCTATAGGCAAACACTTTATATGTTAATAAGGCCTTTACAGATTGTCTTCTAAACAAAAATTACAAGTCAAAAGTCTGTCTTGCTCTATTACCGCTAACATAAAGCAAAAGGTAAACAGAAATTTATCCTATCAGGTTTGCAAGATTAAGAACTGCACTGTGCAAAGTATGTTCAGAACTACTTTTTTTGGGCTGGTATTGTTACTCGATTTGCATAACTGTTTTTGTGAGTCAGGCCTGCAAACGAGCAAATAAACTGTTAACTGTGAGAACAATTCTTGCTGAGTTCACCAACATTCATAAATTTGATTAGCAGGCATTTTTAAATCGAGTATGTTCTGTAATAAATGGTAATAAATACAGAACTACTGATGTTTACTCTTCACAGTTTTGCAGTTTTTGTATTCTACAAGGAACGCATCTATACTGTATCTATCTACACAGTATGTTACATTTGTGGTCAGACAGCTGCTGCAAATGTACCACAGGAAACACATGCGACCTTGGTGCAATGAGCAGACAATAGGAGAATAAAACTTGTTTTCTCAGTTCTGTTTTAGGTTTCATCCTGAAAAAACTTAGCCAGTGCAAAAGAACAGAAACTTAACTTATGTTGTCTTGCACACTCTGGCTTTTCCTAATAACGCTATCTCTTTTGATTAAAACAGAACTTACCAAATGTGTCCACCTCTATGTTGGCTCTTTTGGGTTCAGTAAAAGCTGGATGCTCAACCACACAGGTAACAGTGCTCTCATTATTCATAATTAGGGGGACGCGAAGTACACTGATTGAACTGGTTGTGCCGTTGGGATGAACTGGATTAATCATGTTCACAGAGAAGATGTCGTCTCTTGGAAGGGCACCAGAGATCTCCCATCTAATCACAGCCTCAGGCTTGGCACCGGAGGCAGAGCAAGTGACAGCATGGTAGAGGGTCCTATTCACAACTTCCTCTTTCACAGTTATGTCAACATCAGGCCGAGCTTAGAGACAAAACAGAGGTATTGATGTTTTTTTTTCAATGATCAACTCATTCTTCATGTCACTTCAAACTCATATGGCTTCCTTTTTTTCTGGGGAAAATACATTTTTGTATACTCACCAATAACACTGAGAAACATGGTGTCCTTTGTTTCATCCTCTTCAGAGTCGAAGACGCATGTGTATTCTCCCTCTTGATCAAAACTTGTCACATTTATCTTTACAGTAAGGTTTGTAATTGATGCCGGGATGTCAAAGTTTTCTCTGTTGAAAAAACTGGCACTGGATTTGTAGCCTGCCATTTTCTTTGCCTTCTTTGTAGAATCGAAACGGTTCCAGGAGGAGTACAAGATGTTACTCTGTCCAGTGTACAGACAACGCAGGTAGACCTCCTCCCCCAAAATCCCTGTCACTGTTTGGTCAAGAACCAAGTCTCTGGTCTCCAAATCTATATAAAAAAAAACAGAGGGACGAATATTACTCAAAGATTATATGACATAGTCCATTACAGTAATCATTATGGCATAATATAAAGCACAGTCGGGGGAAGTATGGCACTCTTAATAAACGTTGACAGATTTCTTCATTTCTGATAGGGAAGCCAACAAAAGGATTTTTTGACATGTCCATTTAACACTCCCTAACATTTTGTGAAATGAATCCTGAAGGGCATATATTATGTAACCCAGAGTAAATTAAGAAACCACTTTCGTAAAAGGAGAGTTCAGCCGGAAATTCTGTCATTATTTACTCACCCTCTTGTGGTTTCCTTGTGGAAGGTAAAAAAGAGATTTTGAATAATGTTCTGGCAATTCTTTTCCGTATAATTAAAGTTAATGGGGACTGGGCCTGTCAAACTCCAAAATAACAAAAAGCACCATAATGAACCATAAACATGTTTGCCATATCGCAAGGTTTCTGAAGGTATACAATAGTTTGTGTGAAGAACAGGCCCAAATTGAAGTCATGTTGACTACTTTTATGGTGCTTCTGCATCCTTTCTGCATCCTGTCCCCATTCATTGTGATGGAAAAGAGGGGCCAGCACATTATTCAAAATATCTCCATTTGCATTACAAGGAAGAAAGAAAGTCATGTATGATTTGAAATGACATGAGAGTAAGTAAATGACGGAATTTTAATTCTGGGTGAACTATAAAGACCAATGACAATTTCTCACTGTTTACAAAAGCTAAAATTACCTTTAAAATGCATTACATAGGCAATATTTCCTACAGCGTTAAAAAAATATGCATAAGGCCCCAATTACAAAAGTGACATCACATGCAGCATGCATAGAGTCTGGGATGGAAATTGAGATGCTTTGCACAAAAGGAAGCAGATGTTTTTGGTTTTTCAGTCATGTGACAAGACTTTCCAACACAGGTCTTTTGCACATGTTGCGTGCTGCTGTAAACCGCATTCATACCACTGTACGCCATTTAACTGATTACATGCGAACACAATTCTGTGTTCAAAATCACAGCCTTTGCATGTGTCACTACTACCCTGATTTGATGATGTTACAAGTCTTACAATGATGGCTTGAGCAAGAAAAAGAATAAATAAATAAATAAAGCCAGCAGAACACAATTGCAATAAGCATTTTTTTGCAATCTGAAAAAAAAAAGCATCTTGCATTCTGCATTGCTACTGCATGTTTACTAAACAATTTAAACCACATTTTTCTTTTCTACTAATTACTAATCTTTTTCTAGGGATCTAATTTAATCAGTACTACCAAATAAATTCAAGCCATAATTGATTGTTTCCATGCCTCAGCATTTATTAGTTTCAGAATGAAAGGATAAGTGGTTAAATGTTTTTCTCAAATAAGGATGTCTGGCAAAGGACAGTGGAAATGCCTAAAGCAGAATTTGTGAAAGAATCTTTATTCATTGCATGCCGTTCTTCTCAATGAGCAACAGATTTTATCATTATTATTATCATCACATACTCAAAATACTCAAAAGAGCTCAAAATAACAATAGCAATGATTCAAACAAAAGGCTAATAAAAAAAAAAATAATAATAACAATATTAATTATGCACAATTGCAAAGCCTGCCAGATATTCTCATTCCCTCCCTTTATAATGTTCTGGCCATTCTTTTCCGTATAATTAAAGTTAATGGGGACTGGGCCTGTCAAACTCCAAAATAACAAAAAGCACCATAATGAACCATAAACATGTTTGCCATATCGCAAGGTTTCTGAAGGTATACAATAGTTTGTGTGAAGAACAGGCCCAAATTGAAGTCATGTTGACTACTTTTATGGTGCTTCTGCATCCTTTCTGCATCCTGTCCCCATTCATTGTGATGGAAAAGAGGGGCCAGCACATTATTCAAAATATCTCCATTTGCATTACAAGGAAGAAAGAAAGTCATGTATGATTTGAAATGACATGAGAGTAAGTAAATGACGGAATTTTAATTCTGGGTGAACTATAAAGACCAATGACAATTTCTCACTGTTTACAAAAGCTAAAATTACCTTTAAAATGCATTACATAGGCAATATTTCCTACAGCGTTAAAAAAATATGCATAAGGCCCCAATTACAAAAATGACATCACATGCAGCATGCATAGAGTCTGGGATGGAAATTGAGATGCTTTGCACAAAAGGAAGCAGATGTTTTTGGTTTTTCAGTCATGTGACAAGACTTTCCAACACAGGTCTTTTGCACATGTTGCGTGCTGCTGTAAACCGCATTCATACCACTGTACGCCATTTAACTGATTACATGCGAACACAATTCTGTGTTCAAAATCACAGCCTTTGCATGTGTCACTACTACCCTGATTTGATGATGTTACAAGTCTTACAATGATGGCTTGAGCAAGAAAAAGAATAAATAAATAAATAAAGCCAGCAGAACACAATTGCAATAAGCATTTTTTTGCAATCTGAAAAAAAAAAGCATCTTGCATTCTGCATTGCTACTGCATGTTTACTAAACAATTTAAACCACATTTTTCTTTTCTACTAATTACTAATCTTTTTCTAGGGATCTAATTTAATCAGTACTACCAAATAAATTCAAGCCATAATTGATTGTTTCCATGCCTCAGCATTTATTAGTTTCAGAATGAAAGGATAAGTGGTTAAATGTTTTTCTCAAATAAGGATGTCTGGCAAAGGACAGTGGAAATGCCTAAAGCAGAATTTGTGAAAGAATCTTTATTCATTGCATGCCGTTCTTCTCAATGAGCAACAGATTTTATCATTATTATTATCATCACATACTCAAAATACTCAAAAGAGCTCAAAATAACAATAGCAATGATTCAAACAAAAGGCTAATAAAAAAAAAAATAATAATAACAATATTAATTATGCACAATTGCAAAGCCTGCCAGATATTCTCATTCCCTCCCTTTTCTCAGGAAATGTCTTCTCAGTGTGAGCAAAGTGACAGACTCAGATGAAATGCACAGGTTGTGTGTTCAAATATTTAACCATATGCTATTAATTCACATTATATCCAAATCTGTCTGTTCTTATATATAGGCAATCAGAAAATATGCAAGCTATTCAAAAGGGCCAGAAAACACAACAGCATCATCTGATCAAATTAAGCAAAAAGAATGAAATCTGAGATAATATGAACCTACCTTGCATGTCCCCTCTGTGAGCAAGATTTAGAACCATTGCTAAAATAAAAAATATTGGCAGGCCCATGTTGAAGTCATTAAAGAAGGCAACTGGAGCAAAAAAACACTTGAACGTATGTGCCAGGGTGTGTGTGTGTGTGGTTGAATCTGTTAGTCTGTGGGGCAGAAGAGGTCATAGTCAGCTGCCAGAGAAGTGTGTGAATGTGTGTGTGCTCCTCACCCCAAACCCCAAAAATAGTCAGGCTTTGAATAACCCACAAACTGCTTGTCTACACTACATTTTTAGACCATAACTTCAAAAATAACTCTCATGCCCATTTATTATGGTCATAGATATGATATAGCGTCTATTTCCAGTATGTTTTGATGTGACAACCTGTTACGTTTTATGATAATGAGATTATAAGAAGATGATGAGCTGTTTGTATTAAAAAAAAAAACATAAAACCACACATTTAGAATGATATGACACAAAAGTTTCCATTTAAATGTTAATGACATTTTACTGTCAACCATTTAGACCAAAGTCAGACTGGATAAACTAGATTGGTTCTATTCAAATAATTGTGTTTTTAAATATTAATCATCAAAATTATATTAAATTACTAGATTAACAGATTAAATAGAACAGTTTGGGTTTACAGGAAAAAAGTCATTCTCATTGTGTAGCTAAAATTACCTTTAAAATGCATTATATAGGCAATATTTCCTACAGCGTTAAAAAAATATGCATAAGGCCCCAATTACAAAAGTGACATCACATGCAGCATGCATAGAGTCTGGGATGGAAATTGAGATGCTTTGCACAAAAGGAAGCAGATGTTTTTGGTTTTTCAGTCATGTGACAAGACTTTCCAACACAGGTCTTTTGCACATGTTGCGTGCTGCTGTAAACCGCATTCATACCACTGTACGCCATTTAACTGATTACATGCGAACACAATTCTGTGTTCAAAATCACAGCCTTTGCATGTGTCACTACTACCCTGATTTGATGATGTTACAAGTCTTACAATGATGGCTTGAGCAAGAAAAAGAATAAATAAATAAATAAAGCCAGCAGAACACAATTGCAATAAGCATTTTTTTGCAATCTGAAAAAAAAAAGCATCTTGCATTCTGCATTGCTACTGCATGTTTACTAAACAATTTAAACCACATTTTTCTTTTCTACTAATTACTAATCTTTTTCTAGGGATCTAATTTAATCAGTACTACCAAATAAATTCAAGCCATAATTGATTGTTTCCATGCCTCAGCATTTATTAGTTTCAGAATGAAAGGATAAGTGGTTAAATGTTTTTCTCAAATAAGGATGTCTGGCAAAGGACAGTGGAAATGCCTAAAGCAGAATTTGTGAAAGAATCTTTATTCATTGCATGCCGTTCTTCTCAATGAGCAACAGATTTTATCATTATTATTATCATCACATACTCAAAATACTCAAAAGAGCTCAAAATAACAATAGCAATGATTCAAACAAAAGGCTAATAAAAAAAAAAATAATAATAACAATATTAATTATGCACAATTGCAAAGCCTGCCAGATATTCTCATTCCCTCCCTTTTCTCAGGAAATGTCTTCTCAGTGTGAGCAAAGTGACAGACTCAGATGAAATGCACAGGTTGTGTGTTCAAATATTTAACCATATGCTATTAATTCACATTATATCCAAATCTGTCTGTTCTTATATATAGGCAATCAGAAAATATGCAAGCTATTCAAAAGGGCCAGAAAACACAACAGCATCATCTGATCAAATTAAGCTTATGCACAATTGCAAAGCCTGCCAGATATTCTCATTCCCTCCCTTTTCTCAGGAAATGTCTTCTCAGTGTGAGCAAAGTGACAGACTCAGATGAAATGCACAGGTTGTGTGTTCAAATATTTAACCATATGCTATTAATTCACATTATATCCAAATCTGTCTGTTCTTATATATAGGCAATCAGAAAATATGCAAGCTATTCAAAAGGGCCAGAAAACACAACAGCATCATCTGATCAAATTAAGCAAAAAGAATGAAATCTGAGATAATATGAACCTACCTTGCATGTCCCCTCTGTGAGCAAGATTTAGAACCATTGCTAAAATAAAAAATATTGGCAGGCCCATGTTGAAGTCATTAAAGAAGGCAACTGGAGCAAAAAAACACTTGAACGTATGTGCCAGGGTGTGTGTGTGTGTGGTTGAATCTGTTAGTCTGTGGGGCAGAAGAGGTCATAGTCAGCTGCCAGAGAAGTGTGTGAATGTGTGTGTGCTCCTCACCCCAAACCCCAAAAATAGTCAGGCTTTGAATAACCCACAAACTGCTTGTCTACACTACATTTTTAGACCATAACTTCAAAAATAACTCTCATGCCCATTTATTATGGTCATAGATATGATATAGCGTCTATTTCCAGTATGTTTTGATGTGACAACCTGTTACGTTTTATGATAATGAGATTATAAGAAGATGATGAGCTGTTTGTATTAAAAAAAAAAACATAAAACCACACATTTAGAATGATATGACACAAAAGTTTCCATTTAAATGTTAATGACATTTTACTGTCAACCATTTAGACCAAAGTCAGACTGGATAAACTAGATTGGTTCTATTCAAATAATTGTGTTTTTAAATATTAATCATCAAAATTATATTAAATTACTAGATTAACAGATTAAATAGAACAGTTTGGGTTTACAGGAAAAAAGTCATTCTCATTGTGTAGAAGCAGTCAAAACAGCTTTTCAACCCAAAGTATAACCTCTATTCGCTTACAACTGTCAATTTGTCAGTTATCATTCTTAGTCATACATCCTCTTTCAGTCCTGTTTGAGAAGTGAGTTGTAGAGAATGGAGGTCACTGCTTGGGAAACTACACTAAAACTGTTGACTCATCGGTTGAAGGGGTACTGAGGTTTCAACAACATTTTTTACTCATTCACTGAACAATGAAAAAGTAGTTTCAGTCCACGGCAGACACTTCGCTTGAGGTTTCTCGATTTCCTACTGGAAATAGTAGGTGGCAGGAGCGTTTGCCGTCTGTTCTGTTGAGATGTAGGAGTAACTGTGACTTGCTATGAGTATTACTGTGCACAAAAACAGTCTCAGATGGGCTCAGAAAAACTGACATGTTCACTTGTAGACACGCAGACACGAATTCTCACACGTTTACACCACAGAAAGACAGTTATCAAGGTAAACAGGAAGACTACAAACCAAACACCAACCTCAGCGCAGGGTTCCTGTTAGTCACTGTTAAAATCTCCTTTAAAGGCAGTCAGTGGAGCTTGTGCAAAACAGGCCAACTGTATTAATCACATTTTCATTTTCTGATGTTTTCATATCAGTTCATCATTACTTTAAAATCAGTGTTTGGAATTGCATTAGATTGGCCTCTAATGATGCTGTATATTTGTCACACCTTATCGTTGGGAAGGACTGTAATACAATTGCAATACTGTAGTTGTCACGTCTCAGAATCAAAGAGAATTACATTTACAAGAATTACTTTTGGGGATATATTGTTTATCGATACAGAGTCTGTCGACACTGCCTATGCTGTGATTCACTTGTATGAACTGCAAATGAAAAGCTCACAAATATACAATAAAAATCTTGAGCACATAAAAAAGAGTGTAAAAATGCTACCATAGAAACCTGTAAGTTATCTCACCATATACAGTAAAAAAATTGCATTTATCAAGACAATGCATGTAATTTTACTGTAAAAAAAATTTTTTTTGGAAGTAAAAATTATGATTTATGGAAGCTTGTTTCAGCCATGGAATCATTTTTTTTTTTTTTTAATTTGCGACTTTTTTTCTCACAATTCAAACTTTTTTTCCAACAACTGCGAATCTCGCAATTCAGTTTTTTTTTTCTCTTTTGTTTCTGCCATAGAATAAAAATAAAAAGGTACTTGTGACTTTTTATGTCACAATTTGGACTTTTTTTTTCTCTGAATTCTCAGAATTATGTCACAGGTTATAAACTTGTAATAGCGAGTTTACGTCTTGCAAGTTAGATTTTTTCCCCCTCTGATTTCTTTGAGTTTACATTTCGCAATCCTGTTTTTGTTTCCACCACAGAATAATAATAATAAACAAAAATTGCAATTGCAAATTTTTTATTTCACATTTTTCTCTTGTAACTGCAAATTGCTGTCTATTATATATGCTTGTTATTAGCCATTGTTCTTGAAACTTTAGGTCACAATGTGGCCTTCTAGTTTATCACCTGTATTAGTCTGATAATGGTAGTGGAAACGTTAAACTCGTACTTAGAATTTTAAAGGAAGCATGATGCTTAAATAAAAACATCTAATACTGATGACATTGATAACAGATGGCAGATGATTTGATGTCCAAGCCACATTTCTGAGAGGAAGCCAAACTTTCGCCCACCAGTCCTGGCAAGCCGTCCACCACTCACTGTCACTGCGAAAAACTAGCAAAGCTTTTCCATGCCAACAAGCACTGATGTCCGAACACTGGGGAGTCCACTTCCTCCAGCCAAGGGATGATGTCAGCAGAACATCCTTCTCATAGTTGAGCTCAAGGGACATTTTACTAAGCATACTTTCATGAGTCCACTCGATTCCAGATGGATAAAATCAATCAATCTTACATAACAGAAGTTAAATGGGTTGCACTTTCATTTTTCAAAAAAAAAAAAATCATTCATATAAATTGTAAAAAGATGAAAGTCCAGTTCTGATGAAAGTATTGCATGCTGAGTAAATGAGCTTATGAAGATTGGGAACAGAATGCTATTAATTAAGTGGCAAGTAATTACAATTACATCTCCTTTCATGCGCTATTTCTTCAAGCTGACACAACAGAAAATCCACACGCAACCTGTGAATGAGAGTGTAAATTGCTGTGACATTGGAGGGAATAATCAATACATTTCTTGAAGTTGAATTTTACATAAATGCTCACTTAAGTGTGCTGTATTTCATGCCCTGGGGAATCTACTTTAAACATAGTCAGCACTCCACCTGACTGGCCAACCAGATATCATGTATTTTTATGAGGCCATTGAAACTTTATGTTTTTTATTGTTTTCAGCAATAGATCTAATCATTTACAAAATGTGTCTTTTATGATGAGCACTTAATCAAACTAGTGTCACTTTCAGAGGGAAATTTAGAAGGAAGAGAATATAAATGAAATGTTG